CTGCCAAATTAAAAGTATCTCTCCCAATTAAAACCAGTTAAGTTCCACAGAAAAGTCCAGAACAAAAGCATTTGATCAGACTCTGGATTCTCCTATTGGAATATTTTTATTATTCTGAGCTTTGCTGAGTGGATCAGATGGGATGTGAGGCTCCACCTGAGTGTTTTTCCTCACACAGTATCACTAATAATCTCCTTTTTCTCTGGCGTCCAGTCGAATACGTCCAGAGGAAAACGCGGCCTCCGTTCAGCCGACCCGTTTACGAAGAACCAGAGTCTGAAAGCAGATTCAGGTCTGGATTTCCTGTTAATTAAACCTCCTAACTGTCCCATTATCTGAGGAATAATAAATCAGAAGCCTGTTTAGTTAAAAACAATCCAAATTTAAAAGGGAGATTTTCTCTGAAACAATATAAACACATTAACAGATCCCGACAGAAACAGGTCTAGTTTTCTTTGTAAAATATTAATAAATTGGTCTCAAAATAATGAAGCAAAAAGCTGCCAAAGTTTTTAAACTTTCTCTCACTTCCTTCAGCTGTTCTTTTTTAGACATTCGTAACCTTTTAAAAAAAGATCAAATAAATGAGTTTAGTGCTACAACAATTGAGGTATTTTGAATTAAGTTTAGAAAAATCCATCTAAAAATGTCACTTTTTCCTCCACGTGGACATGAAATAATTGATTGTCAAAGCCTGAAAATGTGAAATTGTTCTCCGTCTGCTGACCTTTCTAACGATGACCTTTGACCTTTGGAGTGCACTGCAACGCCCCACTTAACCTTTCCTTTTTTCACGGCACTTTGAAGATCCGGGATCTGGTTCACGATCCCGGTCGGACGCTTTTTCTGACGGAAAACGGGACGCCGAGTCCGACCGATCCTCCAGAAAACTCAAAAATTCTCAAAGACCCCCAAACATCCGCCTGCCTCCTGTTTCAGAGCAATCGGTACCAGGGATGTTCCCATCCAGGTTTTTTTACTTCCAATCCCGGCCTATCAGAGCATGTGTTAAAGTTTAAAGTTATTTATCTACTTAAAGTGGGGGAAATAAGTATTTGACCCCTTGCTGATTTTGCAGGTTTGCCCACTTACAAAGAATGCTTATTTTTCCTCATCAGATGGTTATCAATTTTTTATAAATTCATATG